CACACACACACATATATATATATATACCGATGCCGTTAACCCCGACGCGCGGTATCCTTTGCTGTCTATCGCCATTTCTCCTCCCTCCTACGTACCCACCTGGAACTCACCCATGTTTCACTTTCTCCCCCTCCCCCCTGTGCATCCACAGCAAGTACTATGATTTCAAGTCGGTCAACTATGATCAGTTCCACTCGCGGAGCCCGATCGGCGCCACCAAGCTGCGGAACCTGCTCTACTGCACCAAGCCCGTGCATGATCTCATTCGCGCGTGGGATGCCCAGCGTCTGCGTGTGCGTTTTCCCCTTCGCCCACTTCCCTCTCCGCCCCCTTTCGCCATGCTGGCACTGACAAACAGCCCCTGACATTTTCTTCAAAACACACGCACGCATATGCACTGGACATGTGTGCAGCTGATGTTCGCCGGTGTCAAGCTTCTCTCCCGCCATGACGCCAACACGCAGAACCCCTCGCCGGATAACTGCATTTACCGCCTGACTCAGGACGCTGTGCGGTTGTTGGCCCCCGCCCACCTGGGCCGCACGCCACTGCCGCTTACCTTTGACGATACCATCATGCTGCTGACCAACGAGTCGGTCCTGCTGGCGGACCTTTCGGCTCAGGTGCAGCGGAGCCTGGTGGATCACCGTGCGTCCGCGGAGAAGGGGGCCAAGCCTTGGAATACCCCGATGCCGCCCCTTTCCACTTGCTCATTTGCCCCTTTCGACCCTCCTCCCCCCTCTCCCTCTCCATGTCTCTCCGCGACAACCACTCGGAAGACCTTCACACACTCTGACCACCGTCCCAATCTCCCTCTCCTCCTTGCGCACGTACGCCCCTGGCGCACAGCCCACGGTGGCTGTGTCTTCATGTTCACCCCCTCGCCCACCAGCTGTGGGACCGTCTGCCCGATGTACTTCTCCGGCTGGCGCGGCAAGTCCTCGGCCATTATCCTTGCCAACAAGAAGGAGAAGGAGAGCCTTGTCTGGCGCGTGGACCCGGAGAATGCCCTGGCTCATGTGCAGAATGCCCGTGACAACCATGAGGAGCTCCGTCGGACGATTGCCGCCAAGCGCAAGGCCGCTGCCAATGCCGCTGCCGAGGCCCCGGCCCCGGCTACCGAGGAGGACGGCATGCCCGCTGAGCAGGACTAAATGCCCGTCGGGTGTGTGTTTCCCTCCGTCGACGACCTGGGCACATGTCCGTACATGTGCAGGAAAGAGGGCGGGGCGTGCGTGTGGCCATGGCCCGGTGCAGGATATGCTCTCCTTTTCCTTTTTTTCCCCCTCTCTTTTCTCTTCCCCTCTCCGCGCGCGCGCACACGCGCGCCTTGCCTTGTAAAATGCCCCCTTTGCCAGGGGAGCTGATCGGTCCATGGCCAAGGGGCAGATGTCCCTTTCCGTTGGCTGGCCAGATGTCGCACACTACGGCCCCCATGCTTGTGTTCACGCTGCTCGCACCCCTGGATGGGCCACCTCCCTCCACGCTGTGTGGGAGGCAACAATACACACGAAATGTACTCGTCCTTCTCTTGGGAAAAAAAAACGACCCCCTTGTGCACCGCCGCATTCACACCAAACCATCGGCACACGCGCATATCTGCCCACATTTGGAGACATAAAGACATATGCGTGCACACAGAGACATCACGGAGCCGGTCCAGGACAGCGCGCGCTGCGCGATGTACAAGGGCGGGTCGTCCTTCCCTGTGCTCCGGGGTGAAACGGGGCCGAATGACTGTCCGCCACCACATAGGGGCAGAAGCACAAACAGAGCCAAGTGCATCGGACAGGAGGGAGAGGATCCCAAATCACAAGGGACTCCCCGGTGCCGAGGGGACTGGCGTTTTGGGAGGCGCGAGGGGAACAGAGAGAAGACACTGAAGGGGATGGAAACAGGTGTAGATGTATATTCGAACAGGCAGCAAACAACGGGAAGGGGGGCAGACTCGGGCGGGGGGCACATGCACGCCGCCGACTCACACACACACAACATAGGGTGGGGGAACGAGCGGGGCGGTGGCCAAGCCGCACACTTCTCGCCCTGGCCGCGCACACAAGGACAGGTTGGTATATTTTTGAAGGATGCAAGTGTGCGCCCACGGGTCATCCCATGGAGAACACGCGCGCATGTGCGCACACACAGCGATGAAGGGGGGGGGGGAAGAGACAAGGAGAGAGGAGGAAGAGCACGGTTGACCGGGC